GCTCGAGGCAAGAGCTCATATCCAGCTGAAGACTACCGGGCACAAGAGAGCTAGAAGGAAGTTCAGCATTCAGTGGATTAATGGACTGGTATCTTCTTCAGGGGCCATCAACCTTTAATTCATCTCTCTGGTGAGATGAAGAGGCAATGGTCAAGATGAGAGGTGCTTTATGCAGCTGTCAAATTCTATTATTCTTAGAAAAAGATGGTCTTCTTTCTAAAATTATAGATAAGGCTCCTTTACATGTGGCATGTGAATTCCTGGTCTTATGACAACAAGTAACCTCAGCAAAAGACAAAATTATATCTATTTTTAACCTTGATTTTTGTCACAATAATATACTGTGAAATAACAATTCCTTCTAGGGAATCTTTAGACAATACATGTGTAAAAAGGTTAATGTCTCTCTACTCATCTTTTCACAGGTTTGTCTAAGAATTTAAAGTCCTTCCACAGCGTAATGAATAATTTCAAATGGGAAAAATGTTTAACCAAAGGATAAATATTTCTTTGAGAAAAAGATCAACCATAATAGTGAGTACATTTTCCATATCATCAAAAGCATATGTGTTCTTTTCCCTTATTCCCTTTATGAGAAAATGAAAATAGCGTTTGTAAATGGGGAGGGGAGGCGTGGGTGAAGGGAGGGCAAGGGCAAGGGGAAAAAAATGAGAACTAAGACCTGTCATGTAAAGGGGCAAGATCCCAGTAGTGAATGCAACTGTACTGTATACCTCGAATGTACCAATAAACTCAATAAAAAGGAAGAAAAAAAAAAAGCATTTGTGTTCAAAAATAATAATAAGCTTTAGTGGTAATAAATTCTTTTAAAATTACTAAGGCACTAAAATGGTGTTTTTGACTGTATACTTGGCAACAGCTTTTTCTTTTTAATATACTTATTCCTTTCCAAGAATTTTTCTTATAGAAATTACAAGAAAATCTTCTCATAGAAATTTAGGAAGTTTTATATATTTATCATAGCAATGTAAATTATGTTAGGTAAGCAATTATACAATAGCAGATTGTACTCATTGTGATATCATGTGGGTTAGTTATTAACATTCCAGTTTTTCTTTTTTATAGGAACTCTGGACTGCAAATCTCTTTCCCTCTTGAAGTTAGTTATGGTGATGTGTCTTTCTAGGCAACCATGACTTATTCCTGTAATTACAGCTCTACAGGAGCTGAAGTTAAAAGGATTGACAGTTCAGACCCAAACATGGGAATTTAGGGAGTCTCTGTCTCAAAATAATAAAAAGTAGGAAGGCTGGAGATGCAGGTTAGTGGTATAGTCCCCGGATTTTTATCTTCAGTATGGGAAAAAAACTAATCAGGAAAATTAAGTTAATGTTAACCCTCCCTTATTTTGGCAGGTACAGTAGTTTACTACTCTCCTGTGTGTGTGTATGTGTGTGTGTGTGTGTGTGTGTGCCCACACATGTTGGGTTTGCATGTTGTAAAAAAAAACGTTACATTTAAAAATTTTTTTTTGGTACCGGGGATCAAACTCGGGTCCTTGCACTTGCAAGGCAGTCCACCAAACTGCTCAGCTAAATCCCCAGCCCCTACTATTTTTTATATAAACTTTTACTATGACTACATGTTGCTATTTTCACTATTACTGATCTAGTTGAGTCTAAACATTGATTAACTAATAACTTCATAAAGATTTTTAAAGTGAGTATTTATTTTCTTTTTTAATTTGATGACATCCTGCATCTGGTCTATTGCCCTCAATGTTAATATTGGTCATTCTTAATTAACCAGATAAAGAGAAAATAATAAAGGAAGCCACAAAACACTGGAAGGAAATTGTTCCCTTCTCTTTTCACTGAATATCATTTAAACACACTTTTCCAACTATTTTATTATTTTTATCTTTTTACAAACAATGTAGAACTGTTTTTAAAAAATCTTTCATTGAATCATTGGCCTCTTTAGCTTAGCTTTGTCTGTAACACTTCTTAAAGTTATAAAAGAGAAAAATTTACATTTCCTGAAATGTTAATATTTTTGTCACTTTGTAAATAATCTACTGTCTTTACCTATGTCCTAATGTATTCATGTATGTCTCCCTAAAGTTTTAAAGAAAGGTTTCTTATCATTTTGTCACATGTAAATTTAATCATCTATTTAAATATTTATTCTATTATCACTTTCCCACCAGTTTTGTGATCATTTTTCATACTCACATCTTTCATAATCATTCCTGTCTTTTTCCTCTTTCTCCCTTTTTATTGAACTATATTCACCAAGATAGTGCAGTCTTCTGGTATTTAAGGTTTGTTTGAATTTATGTATTTGATGAAATAAATAATTATAAATATTTTGACTTTGTTTCTGGACATTGAGTTTTTCTTCAGGTAAACTAAGAGTGGAAATCTGAGACATTTTTAAAATACAAAGAATTGCTATTTCATCTCAGTTGGACTCACCCTTTAATTTTGTTGTTATGTACTGACTGACCACACTATAGAGATTGCAAGTGGTCCTCTTTAACAAGTTCATTTTAAATTCCCTGATCTACTGTGCACATAGTATTTAATGGAACGTGTTATCTCATATTATTCAAATCTAATATTACAATGATTAGCAATTCCTGATAGAAGTGCCATTAAGTGGTATAGACCATTAGCTGTGTTCCAGATACGTATGTATGTAAATATTATATATATATTTTTTTTTTTATTATTATTTTTTTAACCAGGGATCAAACTTGGGACTTTGTGCTTGCGAGGCAGGCGGCAGCACCACTGAGCTAATCCCCAGCCCTATATATATTATTTTTAATAATACAAATTATGTAGCAGCCCAGCCTATGCCTTTCTGTGCAGATGAATTTTCTACAGAGAATGATGATTAGCTCAATTTTTCTGATGAAACTTTCATTTAAGCAGAAGTTACTCCTCCTTGCTTTTTATGCTTCTTCTCAGAGCTAAAGTTGTCTGCCTTTTTGAAATGAGAATAATTTTGTTTAAAGACAAACTCTGAATCTTTTCAATCTAGCTGAAAGAAAAGTGCATCAAGAGTAAGTAAACAGAAGGAAAGAAATGATTCTTGAATACTTAATTTTAAGGTAGAAACTGAATTAATGCTTGTTTAGTTCTACTTTTACACACAATGAGCACAAGACAATGGGGACCTAAGCTACTTGTCAGAGATGGTAAGACAGAAGGATTTAGGCTTGAATAAATGATTTAGTCACTAATTTTTATTTTCCTTGTGCTTTCCTAACAGAGAACTGGCTCTAATGTTTGTTTCTTCTTCACTTAAACAGCTAATACAGAAGCCTTCTGTATGGAAACAGTAAGATACAGAAATTAACTCCAACAAGGTGCATTTGAGAGTATGCATGAAAATAGCAATAATTCAGAGGTGTTAGGCACATCAAATTAAAATCAAGACTGTCAGCTTTATTTTATGGTAAAGAACTTTTGAGGATAGTAACTATGAGTAGTTTTGTAGATCTCTGTGAAAAATTCCAAAGATCTGGGCTTTTTTTCTTTTCCTGTGTAGTGTGCATATTGACACAGACTGGACAAGAGCACTGCTTTCCTGACCAAAGCACATCATTTCAGGAGATCTAAGTCTCTGTTTATTTAACCTTAGGTTTCTGGGCAAAAGGGCCAGAGTACCAAAAGAGGGAATCAGAAGTCCCTTGCTAAACTTTCCCTAAAGTCTCCGGTCGAAAGATACTCTCGCTCCTTCCGAGCCCCTGAAACCTCCTGGGTCTGTAAGAGGGCACCTTCTGTCTTTTGCCCACCAGATCAGAGAGGTCCTCTCACATTTGCCAATAAACCTGCTTGGCCCGTTGACTGGCCTTTCCCTCCTCTCGTGTACAAATCTGCGTATTAAATGAAACACTTTTGTTTAACACCTCAGTGAAATCTTCTTGACTTTTAAAGCAATATATAGCTGAGGTTTGCCTCCCCAAACAGGCATTTCTTTGCCCCTAAATTGGAATTTCATCTTCCTGAAACACTACTTTCATTGTGACACTTCTCCAGAAGTCAGAAGCTCCCCCTACACCCAATGGAACCAAAATTTCGCTGGGCCACTCTCGCCTCTAGAAGCCAATGAGATCACATCAATGTTAGGAACTTGAATGGCACAGCCCTCTGTCCTCACACGCGTGCATCTCATCCAGCTGCTCCCACTAGAGGGAATTAACTCTTGTTGAAACCAACTCCTTTACACGGGGCAAGATAGCTCGTGGCTACTCTGATTTGTAGTTCACCCATTCTCCCACTGCTGCTTGCCCAGACAAGGCACAGCAAGTTAACACTTCTTCTGGGAGCCTTGTGAAGCTAAATGCTGTAACTACAGACCCCACCCCTGTTTTCGAGTTAGCTCTGTTCTGTCATGTCTCCCCTGTCATCTTATTCTCCCGCTGAGGGGCGCTGCTTCTTTGAAGAACACGGAAGGCTCTACCGTGCAGGAAGTCACCATTATCCTGCTCTCGACTGGCTTCTCTGGGAACCACCAGCAATGTCTCACAGCTGCCACCAGTCCACAGCTGTGCAGAAGTCTGCAGTAAAAAATGGTGCATGTTGGAATCCTGAAAAGGTTACTAACACTATATTGTGTTCTCCCTGAATGTTGCACAAAGTATTTTTTATTTATTTTTAATTTATTTTTCTTGTTAAGGGCAAGGAAGGGTGGAAGGACCGAGTTGCCTTTTATGTCAGTGAAAGTGTTGGCTCTTGTGATATTTACCAACCAATGGGTTCTTTGAGAGCTGCTCCACAAGAGGGGCATCAAAGACGGGATCTCCACGTGACCTCTGTTAAGTCAAACTCCCACTGGCCGTGTTTACAGGACAAACCGAATTCTGTAAGAAGATATTTGGCTTCCATACCAACATTGATCACCCAAGTCTGATTCTCACTTAGAGAACCTACATCTGATGTTGACATCATTACACACTAAGGCTTACTTACTTGACTTGTGTTCACCAAACTGCTCAATCCTTCCTATTCAAGCCAATGCTTCACTGAATACTGTGTCATCCCTATACCTTTCTCAGATAATACTGACCATGGAGGCCCCGCTGTTTGCCACCCCAGAGCAGTAAGTCTCTATTTTTGCTTGCATCACATTTGTCAACTGGTGCAGTACTTCTCTGTAGTCTCAAACTCAATGTAATCACACCAAGGCAAGCAGACACATTTCTTAAGATAAGTAGTATGGACTGGGTCAACTGCAAAACCTCTGCCTCCCTCCCTCCCTCTCTCTCTCTCTCTCTCTCTCTCCCTTAGCATTGGGCCTCATTTCTCTTACCCAACTCCTTTTGCCCAATCCCTTCCTTAGCTAGACAGCTAGCTCCCCACATTAACAGCTGTTTTCTGGTCTCTTATAACTTCCTTACATAAAACATTTACTTCTCCCTAAACTATAACTTCCTAAAGATATATATTTTCTAGTGTCAGCATTAATAGCTGATAGAAATTATCTGTCCTCACAGGCTGTTTCCTAACTCATTTTGCTTTTAAAAGTTAATTGCCTAGCTGGGAATTTAGCTCATTAGTGCTGCTGCCCCCCTCGCAAATGTAAGGACCCGAGTTCAATCCCCAATAACAAAAAAAAAAAAAAAAGAAAAAAATTAATTGCCTCTTCTATACCACATTTGGGTAAATGTAGCTATATAAAATGAATTTTGGAGGTAATTAATGTTATTTAATTTCAGGGGTTAGCCAATCTCCTTTTCTTCTACTGGGATTAGTAAAACTATTAAGGTCCTTTGGGAATCTTGCAGAGTGTGCTTGGTTTACTATAAAAAGTATGATAGAATGAATGGTTTCAATAACAGCAAGTTCCTCTCTCCTAGTTCTGAAGACTAGAAGCCCAAATCAAGGTGACAAGAGGATTGTTTTCTTCTGAGGCCTCCTCCCTTAGTTCACAGGTGACCACTTTCCCTCTGCATCTTCACGGGTTCTCTCCTCTTTTGTCTTTGCCCTCCTCTCCTCTTACAGGGTGCCAGTCATGTTGGATTAAGGTCCACTTAAGTTGACCTAACATTTCACTCTCCCTGTCTCCAGAAACTGATATTCTGAAGCAGTGGGTTAGGACTTCAACATATGAATTCTAAGGGGTAAATTCAACCCGTACTGCTGGCTTTTCTGCTTGGCTTGATTGTTTAGATATTTCGTTTCTTTTCCTTCCTCACTGCACACCAACTAACTTACTTTTCTTTTTCACTTGTTCGTTCTTTCTTTCTTTCTTTCTTTCTTTCCTTCCCTTCTCTCTCCCTCTCTATCTCTCCCTCTCTTCTCTCTCTCTCTCTCTCTCTCTCTCTCTCTCTCTCTCTCTCTCTCTCTCTCTCTCAACAAAGTCTCACTATGAAGTTCAGGCTGGCTTTGAACTCACTATGTAGCCTACACTGGCCTCAACCTCTAGGCAATCCTCCTGCTTCAGCCTCCCAAGTTCCGGGATTGTAGGCCTGTACCACCACACCTGGCAGGAAATTTCTTTTCTCTCTCTCTCTCTCTCTCTCTCTCTCTCTCTCTCATTGAATTTATTGGTACATTCTAGGTATACAGTACAGTTACATTCATTATTGGGATCTTGTACCTTTCCATGACAGGTCTTGGTTCTCATTTTTCCCCTTGTCCCTGCCCTCCCTTCACCCCCTCCTCCCCTCCCCATTTACAGACACTTTATTTCCATTTTCTCATATTTTTTTCTTTTCCCTTATGAACTTTCCCCTACCCCTCCCACTTTCCCTACACCTTTATCCCTTTTCTTCCTATTTCACATTATCAGTTATACCATTAGGATCTTATGTACTATTATAGTTTTTCACATCAGAGAAACTATTCGGTATTTACGCATGTGTAACTTAAGTATTTCACTTAGGAGTATATCCTCAATGTGTATCCATTTTCCTATGAATGACTCTAATTTCTCATTCTTTATGGCCGAGTAGTATTCCATGTTATAGAAAAACCACATCTTCTTTATCCAGTCTCCAACTGAGGGGCAAATGGACTGTTTCCAAGTCTTAGCTAAGACAAACTCTGCTGCTATAAACATAGGTGCACACATATCACTGTGATATGATTCTTTTAATTCTTTTGGAAAGATACCCAGGAAAGGGATGGCTGGGTCAGATGGAACCTCTAGTCCCAGATCTTTGAAGTGTCTCGACATTGATTTCTATAGTGGTTGCACCAGTCTGCACTCCCACAAACAACGGAGAAGGGTTCCTTTGTCCCCCAAACCCCACCAACATTTGTTATTGGTTGATTTCTTGATAGCAGACATTCTTTGTGGGGTGAGGTGGAATCTCAGTGTTGTTTTCATCTGCATCTCTTGAATGACCAGTGGTGTGGAACATTTTTTCATATATTTACTTGCTGCTTTTACTTCTTTGTCTAAGAAATGTCTGTTCAAGAATCATGTAAAACAAGTCCTGATTTGGGGGAATTGGGAAAGGTGGTAATAATTGTAGTAAACACCCTTCCTGGGCTCAGTTCCATGTGTCTAACCCACACTTTCTAGAAAGGAATTTTCATAACAGCGACATCCTACTTCCTTCATCTAACTACTCCATCTCAAAGGCATTGAGGTAACTCAAAGGCCACTATTTGTCATTCCATAACTAGTCCAAATTGGCTAGTAACATTAATTTCTTATCAAGGAAAACCAGAATAGGATCAGTTCATAAGCAAATACTCTGAAGGCACTGTTTTGTCGTGATTAAAGCTCATAAATTAGTATTTCAAATTTTAAAACTTCTAAGGAATTCTTTATTTCACCTAGTGTAATCTATTATTTAGAAGTTTTGCTTATTTATTCACCTACAATGCCCTACCCATTTTACATTTTTATGTTATACTTGCCAGTCTTTTAAAATTTAGATGTTCTGTATGAATTTTGTTGAACTCTAGTCTCCATTTTTGCAATTACATTAATAACTATTTAATTACACACTTAAAACATATCACAAAACAATTACAAACATGCCCCTTCACCTTTGAAAATCAGTTGCTTAAATTCTTAATGGGCTCTTGGAAAGTTTTTCAGTGTTAACTCAATTTGTGATTTTAAAAAACTAAGCCATGAAAGTTAATTGTGATAAAGTCATGTTTTATTGGGTTGTACTTCTGTTTCTTAAAACAATTTCCTTAAAATAGAAGAAACACCTTTTGGAAATGTTCACATAAGAGATAAATGCCTTGTTAGAAAGTCACAGTCATTGGTATTTCTTAACTAGTAATATGTTGGGAAATTATTTTTGGAAAAAAGAATATATTAACTTCAACAATTCAATATTTAATAACAAAATGCTAACATATTTTTATAATCACTATAAACCAATCTTTGTGGTAAGTGCTGAAATATAAATGTTAATTGTTGCAGAGTCTTAAGGTCTTAAATAATATAGTGAAAATATAAAGACTGCAACACAAGTTCTAACATGATATTTCAGTGATGGGTAAAGGTTCTATTGATGAAACTGGTTTAATTGATGGTTCTCAGGGGACACAAAATAGTATCCTACCTGTCGCAGCACTTCCCCACACAGGCCTTCACGACTGCCCGGACTCTGCTGACGCTGCATTCCACTTGGTGCCTTTATCGACATCCATATTATGCTCAGTTCTATGTTACTTCCTTCTCAGCACAAGGATTTCAGTCTTCCAGCCCTTTGTTGTAGAGGCTCATTTAAAAGAGCTTCTGGGATTTTATCTTCTCTCTTTTAACAACATAGCTGTCACTCACCTTGGGAAAAGATGTTATGGAACACTAGTCCTGATTTCTGGAAAGTTTTTTTTCAAGGACATCTAGATTTTTATAAACATAAATAAGAAAATGCAAAGTATAATCAAACATTACAGGGAATGTAGAAATTTAAAAAATTTTATTACAGTAAAAGACATATTGCCATGAATCCCCCTCAAAATACTGCCCCTTGCTTTGAACACACTTATCCCATCATGCTTGCCAATTTCTGAAACAGTTGTGAAAGTCTTTTTATGTATCAATCGTTGCCCTGTAGTAGTTGCTTCAACGTTGTGAATGGATTAAAAGTATTTACCTTTCAAAGTCATTTTAAGTTTTAGCAAGAGCCGGAATTCATGGGTTGCCAGATCCAGTGAATAGGTGGATGAGAACACACCATAGCATCTTTATTTAACACAAATTGTAGTCAATGTTTTTAATACATTCAGGACCTCAAGGAAGCCACAGAAGACACTTACTGAAAAAAGACTTCCAGAACTGCTCCAAAAACTGACAATAAAGATGGGATAAGTATATGTAAAGCAAGGGGCACTATTGTGAAGGAATTCGTGCTAATGTGTCTTTTGTTTTAATAAATATTTTAACAATTTTTATTTAAACATTACCAGTATTTTTATCACACTTCATTAAGCATTAATCCATATAATACTAGGAGTTAAGTATTACCTGGCACAGTATAAATTTGTATCCTATAACTTCTACGTAACTCAGAAAAATATGAGCAAAACCAACAATTATGATCCCAAACCAACCAAAAGGCAAACATATTGAAAGGTTCTAGTGTATCTAGATGATGCAAAGAAGGAAAGAAAACAGAAAGTAATGCAAGAATGTTCATGGAAGAGTAGACATAGCCCTTGACAAACGATGGGACTTGGAAGTCTTAAAGCACCCTACTAGTCTACAAATGACTATAAACAATGCCAAGGACAGCTCCTTTATAGATTTTTATGGATTTCGTAAAATCATGCTAAACAAATAACTATGAAGATACTGAAAATGTAAAGACGTATGATTGAACAACTGCCAAAAGAGGAACCTTGGAACTGTTAATCCTGAAGAAGTACATTCTAAATGCAGTTAAGGGTTTTCAGCTACACACTTCTTATTCAAATTTGAAAATTCTACAGTTCAAATATCATTTTGTTTGAGAGAGAGCCTACCAAAGCAATTTTTCTATTGGTCCTTTTCTGTGAAGGAACAGATCTTAAAGGGGTAATCCTGAACATGTGGGTAATCTAATTATTATTAGAGATCTACACAACAGCGCAGCCTGTGATAGTACAGTTTTGTCTCCTTTCAGTTGTCTGGGTCAGCAGTTCTGATGCAATTGAAGAACGTGAAGTCCACTGCTATATGCAAGGTTAACACAGTGGTCTAGTATGCTATGTCAGGCTCCAGGATTTATTTTGTAGGTGCTTTAGAAATTACCATAAATTTGTAATGTAGATATTATTTCATCTTACAGTAGAAAAAAATGGGATGATGGGATGTTTAAGGAGGTTGTGTAAATTGGCCAAGGTCTCACTGACAGAGGTGCTTTGCCTGAGCTGACTCCTGAGTTCTGTGCTAAATAATTGTATACTCTCTTACAGACATTCTGCAATTACTGCTACATTATTTCAGTGATTGGAAATTACTACTGCACAAAACACCAAATGTGAAGGCAATAATGACTTTAGGTTGTTTTCTTTTCCATTAATTATAGATCTTTTTTCTATTATTTTCAACCATATTTTTTAACAGACTTTTGAAATTAAGGAGATTTTACAGCTTTAAAACATTGATAATATTTTTATAATATTATGTGTGTTTCTGGGCCGGGGATTTAATTTGATGGTGTCACTGCCTGCCTCTCAAGGGCAAGGTCTGGAGTTTGATCCCCTGTACTAAAAAACAAACAACTAAATGAAACCTCTTTGTTTCCATTTTAATCATTCTTAGTATTTTTGGTCATTTTCCTGTGACAGAATTGGAGGTTTAGCAAAATTATATTTTACCTAGCTTGTAATATGTTCTGTCCCATGAAAGTTTTCCTTAAAGGTGCTGTCCAGACAGGATCACCTTTTAACTAAAGTCTGGATTGCTGAAGAGCTAGGCAAAACTCATGCTTCTGACAACGTAGACTTTTAGACTCTTCCAATTACTTAATGAAAC